CCTTCTGCCACCTGGGAGCAGGCCTAAGCCAGCAGGTCGTTATCTCCCGAGGGGTCCCAGACTGCGAGAGGGCACAGGCCGGGCCCAGGGGACTCTCCTCCCCCCCGAGTGCACAAATTTTTGTGCACCGGGCCTCTAGTTTATTTTATAAAATAGAGGTGTAAATGGTACTTATTTAATGAGACTTTAAGGAGGCTAAATGAATTAAGTGAATTTAAAAGGTGAAAGCAGTGCCAGGCAGTGTGAGGGTCCTGGTAACTGTTAATCACTAGTTAGAATGATTTAGGAACCATTGCCTCAGGTCACCTAAAAAGTTCCATAGTTGGGCACTTGATAGATACTAGAATCACAGGTGGTTAGTAACTACTTACAAAGATTAATCAAAATTTAAAAATGAAAACAAGCCGTAACCGGTTTGGCTCAGGGATAGAGCGTTGGCCTGCGGACTGAAAGGTCCCAGGTTTGATTCCGGTCAAGGGCATGTACCTGGGTTGCGGGCACATCCCCAGTAGGAGGTGTGCAGGAGGCAGCTGATTAATGTTTCTCTCTCATCAATGTTTCTAACTCTCTCTCTCCCTTCCTCTCTGTAAAAAATCAATAAAATATATTTAAAAAATGAAAACAAATGTAAAATAAAACAGCAAAATGCAAATTTAACAGTGAGATAACTTTTTTTTCTTGGCTCTCAAATTGAGGAAGATGGTAGAGAAGTTCTTGAAACAGCTGAACTCACCTTATTGCTTTTATAAATATAGTGCTTTTAATGGGCAGTTTGGTAACATCTATCAAAAATTTAAGTGCTTTCTGGCTGGTGTGGCTCAATTGAGTGGCATCCCATGTTCCAAGAGATCCACAGTTGATTCTCAGTCAGGTTACATGACCAGGTTGCTGGCTTGATCCCCAGTGCGGGGTGAGCAAGAGGCAGCAGTGGTGGCGGGGGTCAGGGCTACTCAATGTTTTTCTCTCCCCCCTCTCTCTAAAACCAATAAAAGCACATTAAAATTAAGTGCCTATGCTCTTTAATTTCATGACTCTACTTCTGGGAATTGATCATAGATATATGATCAAACATACAGTCACATAAACACACACTGACATATATAAGCCAACTTATGCTATATATGTATCCCACGTTCAGAGGCTGTTAAATTGCATTGTTTACCTATATCTTCAGAAAAAACCCACTTCTGCTGTTGTGGTAAATAACCTGCTTCCCTCTTTTTTATGGTCTGGACCTCTAGCAACTTCAGCGCGAAATTATAGCTGATTTGCCTACAAATGTCAGGTGGTCATAATAGTCTGGCCACTCAGTGTATATACAATGATAACAATTACAATATTTGGAAAAAAGCTTGAAAAAACCTAAGTGCCCATTTCTATCTATACTAATAATAGAGAAATATGCAAATTATCCATTACAGTGTCATGTCATAACTGGATCAGCAGGCTGCGTCCCCCCCCCCCCCCTTTTGCTCAGGCAACTGCAAGGTCTGGTGTAGGATAGGATATGATAGGAGGGGATAAGAAAGGAGAGGGAGTGGAGGGCAGGCCTGTATGCAGACAGGTCAAGAAGAGAAACAAATACAGAAAGGGAACAAGAATAAGACGCAGGAATGGAAAAGGGAAGGAAATGCGGGGCTGCATGTGAGAGGGGGTGGTGACCGTGGGGGCATCTGTCAGAATGACCATCATCAACAAATGACAAGTGCTGGCCAGGATGTGAAGAAAAAGGAACTCTCATGCACTGCCAGTGGGAATGCAGACTGGTGCAGCCACCGTGTAAGACAGTATGGAATTTCCTCAAAAAACTAAAAATGGAACTCCCATTTGACCCCGTGATCCCACTTCTAGAAATATATCACAAGGAGCCTGGTGAGGGGCGGGGCAGGAGCCCTACCCAGACATGGGAAGAGGGAGGTGTCGCCTGGGGTGGGCTGAGGCCTTCTGGATGTAGGCGCTCCTGCTTCGCAGCATCCTCGCCGCTCGGGTGTCCTGGGCAGGGAATGGGAGTAGGATGGTGGCAGGGAGGCTGGGGAAGGGGTGGCCGTGAACACCTGGCCGTGGCTGAGCCCTGGGCTGGGGATTAATGCCCCTTTGAAAAGAAGCTTTAAGAAGGGGAGGGAGAGAAGAACTTTGTAAAGGAGTCAGTAGACAGCAGAGTTAAAGAAGGAAAAGAGGATGTATGAGGGAACTGTAGGAGCTATAATGAAAATCAAGTATAGTTGTGTACTGGGGACAGATTTTAAAAGTAGGAGTCAGAAAAAAAAAAGATAAATGATAGTGAGTAATTAGGCAGGTAGATAGATATTAAAATAGTGGAAGTATGCCGAGAAGAGTGGGGCAGGAGTCAGCTGGTCGATGTTTCTCTCTCATCGATTTTTCTAACTCTCTATCTCTCTCCCTTCCTCTCTGTAAAAAATCAATAAAATATATATAAAAAAAGAAAAAAAAATAGTGGAAGTAGATAAGAATGTATGAGAAAGGTAGGATGAAAGAGAAAGAGGGAGGGAAGAAAAGTTTTAAAGGGGAGCTGGTAGAGCTTAAAAGGAGAATGAGAAGAAGGAAGAAATGTGGGAGGGAGCAAAGCAGGTCTGAGGGCGGAAGTGAAGAAAAATATTAAGGTGGGAAGGAAAAGGGGAGGTAGGGTAGGGGTAAAGATAAAGGAAAGAGGGGATGTGGGGAGGGAGCGAGGGTAGGAGAAAGATGGGAAGAAGGATGATGGAACAGAAGTAGGAAATAAGGAGGAAAAAAAAGTTTATAAATGATGAGTCAGTAGGAAAAAGTGTTACATAAAGGAGAGAGACAAAGTGTGTAAGAGGGAGAAGCCAATAAGGAAGTCAAATACAGTTGTGTGTGAAAGGGATAAGATTAAAAAAAAAAGTTAATAGGGGCAACTAGGCCGGCAGGGGAGGGCAGTTAGGGGGATCAGGCCAGCAGGGCAGGGCAGTTAGGGGGACCAGGCAGGCAGGCAGAGTGGTTAGGGAAGACAGGTTCCTGGGTTGTGAGAGGGATGTCCAACTGCCAGTTTAGGACCAATTGGTTGGACACTTAGCATATTATGCTTTTATTATGTAGGATTTCCTTCTTAATTTGAAGGAAATACTCTTTAGCATCTTGAGTAATTACACTTTTTTCTATGTATTTGTGAAACTATCAAGTGGGAAAGCCCTTATACAATAGTTGTGAAAAACCACACATGGTCAAATGACATGATTATTAAGAAAAGCTGAAAAAAACATGACTTTGGAGTATATTACTAAATTAAATATGACCTTTTTGTATTAAAATGTATAGATACAACTGCTCCTGTCATTTAGCATCATTTCTCATAGTATTTCTGTAGTATGTTAATAAATGTTATCCTTCAAAAGGGTTCTGTGGTCAAATATGTTTAGGAAATTTTGTGTGAAACAAAGCAGTATCGGGGTCAGGTATGTTTGGGAAATGCTGGGTGAAACAAAGTAGTACAAGTTTCTTTAGTTTGACTTTTTAGTGTTTAATTAATTAACAACCATTATAAATTACTAAAAAGATGTTTTGTATTTCCTATATTAACTTGATGACAGAACTTTTCTCAGAACATCTTGCAGGTTTGCATAACAAATGCTGAGAAATGCAAAGTATAGCATATGGTTAATAAAAAAGATTGAGAGATTATACAGTATAACACATCCTCAAATAACTTAATTTCATTCAAGATCATTTCCTTACAACTTTCAGATGCCATAAGAACTGAACTTGTTTATATATCAACCTGCCTATGGTAAAATTGGTCTCATTATATATCATTTCACTTAAAGTCGCAGAACCTATCAATGATGTTAAGTGAAAACTTACTGTAAAATATGCTAGGGTGTATGGGTATCCCAGGATGTTGATTGTTCTGTTTAGTGTTGATTTGGAGTTTTGCATAGTTCTCAAGAGATGTTAGTAAGTTCTCAGCAATAGTTTATTGAGAGCATGTATTGGCTATATTTATTATTACAAATATATGTGATTCTCTATTTTGTAACAAAAGTGATTTAAAAAAATAGTTGTTTTTTTTTTCAATACTGAGGGCATGCATTTATCTCTTTACTTTTGGTTTGTAGGTTTTGGCCTGAGAACTTCTTTTGTTTATTCTAAATTTTATTTTACTGTATTCGATGGTATTTCTGCTTTTGTAAATTGGAGTACTCTGGGTTGAAAATTATAGCTTTTGGGGGAGTTGGGAGGGATACTAAAAAAATGCTAGAAGATTATGATGGTAATGTTATTTTTCTCTTTTTGCTTTTTCAGTTTGAGCAGAAAACTGGTGCAGTTTTTGATGAAATTGTAGAGAACTGTAAGTACCATTTTAGAAAACAAATCATCTATTTATATACATAATACAGATAATATATTAGCCTAGATAGAACATTTATCTATAGCAGATTTATCTAAATCAGTTTGATTTATTTGAGATCTCATCACACCTTCTTAGTATATTGAGTAAGTTAATCTGAATTGTAAACCTTAATTTTTAAGGTTGACATATAGCCACACTTTGTGTATGTGTGATATATATAAAAGTTTATATACCTCTTAGTATATATAAACTTAGTATTTACAGGGTATCTTAATTTTTCTTTTTATATTTTTTCTTTAATATATTTTATTGATTTTAGAGAGGAAGGGAGAAGGATAGAGAGGGAGAGAGAGAGAGAGAGAGAGAGAGATAGAAACATCAATGATCATTGATTGGCTGCCTCCTGCACATCCCCTGCTGGGGATCGAGCCCACAATCCAGGCATGTGCCCTTGGCCGGAATCAAACCTGGGACCCTTCAGTCCACAGGCCGGCGCTTTATCCATTGAGCCAAACCAGCTAGGGCTCTTTATATTTTTTTATGATACATGGTTTTCTTTAAAAAATTCTGTTTCTTATAATTATAAAACTAATACATTCAGTTTTACAATACAAAAATGAATAAAGCTGAAAACCCAAGCCTTTGTTTTTACCATTCTCCAAAGATAAACAGTTTTAAAAGTTTAATGTATATCTTTCCCAATATTTTTTTTGTGAGTGTATGTGTTTCTATATATGGTAGGTGCAGTTTATGTATGTATGCAGGGAATTATATGATTTTTTCTTATTTTTTAACTCAACTGCGTAGATATCATTCTATGTCATTGGATTGGATCTACCTACTGCATCCTTTCTAACAGTATTTTTTTCTCTAACTCAGTATTTTTTTTTGTATGGCTGTAGTATAATTAAATTACTGTTCTCTTTTATACATATGTATATTATTTTTAATTTTTTCTCTATTACACGTAATATGCAATATATATTCCTATATACATCTCTGTGTACTTGTTGAAGTAATTGATGAATCATCATAGGATGTTCATGCACTTGTTTATGAAGAGTAAATTTTGTCACCTATAATTCCTAAGTCAGGAAATGTGTATTTCTTTTGTTTTTTTAAGTTTATTTCATCCAGTAAGATATGTGAGTACCATCTTTCTCTTTGAAATTAGGTAATATTGGTGATAACAGTTTTTATACTACATATTGAGAGGTAACTAGCTTTCCTGATCTTTAGTAGATTTAGTTGTCTTTTTCTTGCATGCAAGAAAGTAAATTAGGCTTCTGCTAGCTTATCCAGAAGAAACCTCAGAAGTGTATTGGAGTACTTAACAGAATTTAGGGATGGTAGAGAATAAATTTCCTCCAGGGAACTCAATGAGAGGAGACCATGTGCCTGCTCTGCCTATGCTGCTAAAAACAGTTATGTTCCAGCGACTTATTTCTTCTGTATGCCCATTTTAAATTTCAAGTTCCTAGGAAAAAAATTATGATTGTGCCAGCTTAGATTTGATGTTTATCTTTGACCCAATCATCTGTGGTCAGAAAAAGTAAGGTTACAAAGTAAAACATGGCTGTTAGGAGTTATCCCTCAGTCTCACCTATTCACTTTCATCAAATAATTTTTGATTACCTTTTTCTCGACATGCCTTTGCTCAAGTCTATATACTGGTAGTGATAGAAATTAATCAAATAGGTTTCTAATGAAGGTTTGAATCTGATGCTTTGTTTGTTAAAGACGTTGAATAACAACTATCTTAAAGTGGTAGCAGGAATCTTAATGCATTAACCAAGCTGCTGTACTTGGGTTGCTATACCAAGTATTTGGAGTTTATGTTTATGATGCCTGGTGCTTTTCTGTTCCAACCCCACTTTAAGGGTGGAGGTTTAAAAGCAGGGAACTTTATACCAAATATTGAGTGCAAATGATGTGGTAGAGATTGCCCTCTATCTCCTTTCTGGAAGATTATCATTAAGGGTTGTTAAAGGTTCTGGAGGCAGAGAAGTGAGTTGCTTGGAAGGGGAAAGTGGCCTCTCTCCATGAAGGGGATTCAGGAACATAGCTACCTATCTAATAGATATAAAGGCAGACTGCTACATAGATGGTGTTTAGGAAGCATCTAATTCCCAAGATGGTCATTCAAGGTATACCACTTTGTCTTGGAGCGCATATCTAGAAAAAAGGAGATTCACTCTTTCTCAGGCAAATAATGTGTTAACTATCCTACGTAATAAAGAGCTAATATGCAAATGGTCAGCACGCCCTCATGCCTTCACTGGGTCTCGGTCTTGCTTGATTTCAAGGAGCGTGCAGGTGGGTGGGGACTTGACTCTGGGTCCTGTGATGTGTCCTAGACTCTGACAGGAGGGAGATTTTCATATACATTTTACTAATTTTCTTTCATCTCTGACACTTCTATTATAGAGAAAGGGCAAATAGCAATATTAAAATATTTCCTCTAATTAATGTGCACAAATTTCGTGCACTGGGCCACTAGCCCTATATAATAAAGAGCTAATATGTAAATGGTATCATGCTCTCACATCATCAAGCCCTCATGCAGTCACACTGTAAGGGCTCATACACTCAACACTGGGGAGAGAGGAATGTGGACTAGCCAGGCACAGAAGAGCTTGCGAAAGAGGAATGGGGACCAGCCAGGCTGTGGCCCTGCAGAGGGACAAGCCGCCAGCCCAGTGGCTGCGCCTGCGTCCCGGGAGAGGGACAAGCTGCCTGCCCCACGGTCCTGGGTGCCAGCGGCTGCAGCTGCGCCTGTGGCCCGGGAGAGGGATGAGCCACATGCCCTGTGATCCCAGGAGCCAGTGGCTGCACCTGCGCCTGCAGCCCTGGAAAGGGACAAGCTGCATGCCCTGCAGTCCCAGGCACCAGCAGCTTTGCCTGTGGCCTAGGAGAGGGACAAGCCTCCTGCTCTGTGTTCCCGGGCACCAGCGCCTGCGGCTGTGGCCTGGGCAAAGTCTCCCACCCACTGTCCCCTATGGCTGTGGCCGGCCTGGGTCCTAGTTGCCTGCAGCCAGTGAGAGGGAGGGAAGCCCGGGTCCTGGGTGCCTGCGACCGGCCGGAGGAGGGAATTTTGGGTCCTGGGTGCAGGGCGAGGCAGAGGCTATTAGGGGCGATCATGCCATCAGGGGAGCAGATAGGGTCGATCAAGCCGGTAGGGGAGCAGTTAGGGGCGATCAGGCAGTCAGGTAGAGGTGGTTAGGGGCGATTAGGCAGGCAGGCAGAGGGGTTAGGGTTGATTAGGCAGGCAGGCAGGTAGATAAGCGAGCGCTTAGGAGCCAGTGGTCCTAGATTGCAAGAGGCAGTTGGACATCCCGCGAGGGGTTCTGAATTAGAGAGGGTGCAGGCCGGGCTGAGGGACCCTCCCACCCCTGTGCACAAATTTTGTGTCCTGGGCCTCTACTCCAATGTAATAAAAATCTAATATACAAATTGTCCCCTTGGGCAGTCATTGGACTGGGATTTTGACTGGGGACCGGGAGTTTGACCACTTGCTATGGTGTGTGCTGACCACCAGAGGGTGGTGCCAACATGGCGGGCGTTGGTGATATGGTGCTGGCAGCAGGCAGCAGTGGAGGTGCTGGCAGCCCCGATGGGCCCTGATGAGAGCAGGACCACGGTGGGATGGTGGAGTAGGTGAGCAGGCGGTGCGAGGCCAAGGCGGGTGAGAGCAGGGGCCTGATCACCCCACTGATCGCCCTGCAGATGGCAAGCAGCAGCGGCGGTGAGGGGTGGGGCAACCACCCAGCTCCCAGGCACTGAGGGAGAAGGGGCAAATAGCAATCCCATATAATAAAAGCCTAATATGCAAATCGACCAAACAGTGGAATGACCAGTGGAACAACAGGTCATTATGATGTGCACTGACCACCAGGGGGCAGAGCTTAATGCTGGAGCTGTCCCCAGCCCACAGACCCCAGGCCAGCCAAGGCAGGTGCCAGTGGAGGCCCCTGATTGCCCCACTGGTGGACTTCAGCTGAGGGAGGTGACCAGCAGTGCGGGCTGCGTGAGGCCTGTCAGGTGAGTGCCAGCGGAGGTCCCCCGATCGCCCTACATGTTGCCCCACAAATAGGCCCTGATCGCTGGCCAGGCCTACGGCCGCTACCCATGCACAGATTTCATGCATTGGGCCTCTAGTATTAAAATATTTCTTCTAATTATTTTCCTTTCAATGTGCACAAATCTGTGCACAGGGCCAGTAGTCTATTTATTTAGAAATGCTGTCACATATCCTAAGGACCCTTGGTCATCCCAGTTTGGCAACCATTAAGACTTTCTTCCTACTAATCTGTTCTCTCTTCCAAATTTTGTATGCTTAAGTGAGGAGTTACATAGTAATCTTGAAAGAAATGTTGAGATTCAGATTAGGGTATTAGTAGGGAAAAGAAAGAATGTGAATCTCTTTTAGAACATTTTTTAGTTAAAGTCCATAGAACTAGGTGATTAACTGAATGTGTGGAGATTGAGAGAAATAAGTGGTAACCATGCCATCTATATCTCTGACATATGCTGTGGGTTCTTCAGTTAAGAAGGCAAAACACTAAATTTGAAGAGTCAAATCTGTGG